ATGAAAACCCTCCTAAGCTTTTGGCAACTGGGAAAGCAAATGTCCCTTTCACTGCAGGTAAACCCCGAGCCATGCAACAAAGTCTGAGCAGCTTCTCATTGCCCCTGTTGCAAACTGCTGCTTGTATGCGTAGGCTTTCTTTCCCCAAAGCTGGTGAGATGTTTTTTTGGGCCACCTTGTTCACATATACACTAGTAAATGGCATTCAGGCTACTCTTGGAAGAAAGAGAAGGCCAAACCTGCCACTTGAATTTCTGACCTCACTTTTTGTTTAGAGAGGAGCATAGTGTTGCAATTCTTAAATTGCAAAACTGTTTTCATGGTTGTCTTTGATTTCTCTGAGTGACCCTTGGATCCTTAGTCACACACTGCTGCCTTTTCACTTCAGCTCTCCTGTCCCTGCTAATTTATATGAGAATTTGAGCAGAACAATTTGTAGTTTGACATCTCCCTCCCCTAGTAATTCCTGTTATGGGAAGCAAGCTGTTCGTTCTTGCATCTCACCTGCCCTGTGCCCCTTGTGGTGCAATATTCCAGGCTAGATCGTCATCACTGTCGTATCTGCGAGGGTTGTCAAAGAAATAAGATCTGGGACTGAAGCCATGGCTTGGGACCATTCCTGCATTGGCCTGAGGGAATGGAAATGTCAGTCAGTAATTGCAACAGATAAACTGCTTGGTGGCTACGTCTAAAAGAATCACTGCAGACTTAACTCCTGGCTTCTGACGGAAAACAGATGATCTGAAACTTTCTGTATACAAACCCAGTCTCTTTGCATTCTACTTCTCCATCAGTACAGTGTTACCCTACTGACCTGAACAGTAAGCTTGACCCTTCCTTACAGCTAAAGCGTATGACCACTTCCAAAACCACTCTCCCTTATGGTTCTAGTCTGTCTGCTGAGTTCTTGTCTGCCCTGGACATGTGGTGCTCCTAGCCACTTGCCTTGAAGTAGGCAGCAGGGAAGCAGGATGTAAAGCATGTAAAAAGACTGGTTTTACCTCCCACGTTTGGAGCCCTTCCTGCTGGCGCATTACCTTCCTCATCTTGCGGACTAATCATGCAGAACCTCAGCACCCAGTTAAGAGGCTAGGGCTGAAAGGCTGCCAGGACATCACTCAGCATTTTCAATGTCTACACAGTGCTTCAAGGGTCAAATTCCAAAAAGACACCTCTTCACTAAACAGAGAAAGGAGTGCATGTGTAACTTCTTAATTTACAAAGCATTTTTGCTTTCTATTTCTCTAAGAGCTGAAAACATACAGGCTTGAAAGGGTGGTTTTGACTCCTGAAGCAGTGCAGAGACTCTGTGCTAGGACCCAGCTGAGCCTTTGCCCCTGCTTGTACCCCCAGGGAACAGTGTTTGCTGCACCAAGTCAGTTTGCATAAAATCTTCTTGGCCTTCAGCAGCAGACCTCTTATTTTTTATATATATAAATAACTTTGATACAGATGAACTAAAAACACGTCCATCTGTCTCCTCATCATTTCCCGTATTTATCTGTGGGAAGGCCTGGCAAGGAAAGGACCAAGCACCGCAGCCACCCTGTGACGACAGCACCCAAGCACGCTGAGAGCAGGTCCCAGACCGTAGCCTTCTTTGAAGAGCTTTACCTCTAAACAGCACCAAACGCTGCCTCTACTCACACTTCTCATTTCTGAAGACTTGAATCAAATGCCTAACAGGTGCATAACTATTTATTGGAGCTTTTTCCTTTTTACAAATAAAGAACGCTCTGGAGTTTTACTAAATCAGAGCATTTTTTTGTTTGCTTGTTTGTTTTGACTAAAAGAGGGTTTGTTTTAATTCTAATCTCATGCTTTTTAGACAAATGTTTTCTACAACTGCACCATTGGGTACTTAAGAGCTGTAAAACAGTTTATTAAGCACATCAGACTGCAGTCCTCCGGCCCTTGGTCTCCCTCTTGTGTCAGGAGGAAACCCCACAAGAGGGGTTTCCATTGAAATTAGGCTTTGCCTTGCTACAGAATCTGTGTGGGGTTTTTTGCTTCTCCCTTTTTAATGTCCTTTTTTTTTTCTTCTTATATAATCACGTTTTCCAGCAAAAATATTGTTTTCTATGTAGAAAAAAAAATCACCAAGGACTGATCTACTATGTTCCCCTTAAGAGGTACTCCTAAAAGAAGTATCTCTCTCTTTTTTTTTTTTTTTCCTCTCCACGGACTCAAGTAAGGACCATATTAAACCAAAAGAAAGATGATCCTGAGTTTAAACCCTTTCCTGACTTTTAAGGTAAACTAGTTGCCTTAAGGTAAACTAGTTGTCTTCTGGGTAAATATGATGAGTTTCTCCCATGAGAACTTAGTATGAAGAAGTGGGAAGTTTGGGTTGTTTTTATCCTGCCAAAGAGACGTTGAAAAACAGAAGTTAGAATGTAAAGTAAAAGCTCCCTTGGAAGGCGCCCTCCCCAGCCCTGCCTGGACCATACGCTACCAAATACGTAACAAGTTCCACTCACTAGATCTTTTGTAGGGTTTCGGACACGGAAGAAATACACAACCAAGGAAGTTGGCAAGAGCTCCCAGATGAAAAGGATCACTCCAAACACAATGTAACCTGCGTCTCCCAGCTGACATTTCAGATCTGCCTGTTGAAATGTCAAAGTGAACACCGTTTACAAATGAAAATGGCAGCTTGTTTAAAAAGTGCAGGAGGCAACGTGTCTTATTATAAAGACCTACACTTAAGCAGCTGAAATGCTTGACAGATTCCATCTTGTAAAGCTGGACTAACCTGGCTAATGATTAAAAGCCTACTAAAAAGAATCAATATTCTCTGTGCTGGGTATACGGCCTTCCTTTCTTTCCAATCTCCCTTCTCCCTCTTTCTCCTCCTAAATCTCCTTTGACAAAATCTAAGTTCAGTGGTTTCTTGTCAGGTTTTATGGCTGAGAAGAAAGCAATAAAACCAAGGTAATGAGAAACTAGACTTCTGGTCCCTTTCCAGATGGGAATAATATCTGAAGAAACAAGCAGTGCCTGAGCCTCCCAGGGCATTGCTGGAAATCTGGCTTTCAAATTTCAAGGGTTGCACCCCCTTAAAGTTGGTGCTAATTGTCAAATTGAACAACCGTGCTGCTATTCTAGTGTTACATCTGACCTCCCAGCTGCCTTCCTCTCTATCGTTTGCTGTAGCCGCAGAGGGCAAATCCTGTCCTTTCGTGTGTTTTGTACTGGGGAAAGCAGGGTCACGTTTCTAACAGGTGACCTGAGGAAGTACCACAGTACAAAAATGGGGCTGTATTACCAACATGTACTACAACTTTTGAACTACAAAAGCGACTACCAACATGAAATCCTTCAGTTCTAGGTACTTTTCATATGACTGCAATTGTTTGCTCCGAAATCTATGCAGCCCTAGTGTCACATGTCAGACTGGATGTTCAAAAAGCAGCAGTTCTAAAGTCCTAGGTCCTAAAGCACTTCAAAAAGTTCCCTACAATTGTGGCCTCCATGTGGGAAGCTGCACCAAATACTCTGGCCATAAAGTCCCAGGACCTGTATTCCAGGTTTGCAGCAGACAGCACAGGATGGACCTGCACTGCCAGTCCCTGAGGGAGTTACAGCCACTGCATCACTCTAGGCCTGCATAACAGGAGGTAGATGCAGGAGAGGAATTGCAGCTCAGTGCCTCAAATCAGCCCTTCTAATTCCATGGAGCGGCATAGCCTGGCTGTGCTCCTTGGCCACGCTGAAGCAGGGAGATCCGCCATCCCGTGACATACTCTCCTCAAGCAGCTCTTAATGAGGTCCCCGAGGCAATCTTGCCCTACGCTTACCTACTTATTTGCAATCGTTCCTAGTGCTCAGCAACAAACTGTAATAGCCCCAGCTTTGCTCAGCCACCCCAGCATGATGAGGCCCTTGGATGGCTGGAAACATGGCCTGTGCTCTGCCTTTGTGTGGGCAAACACCAGGTGTCTGGGGCTTTGAGGCCAAACAAAATTCACAAGATTTGGAAAACTACTAAGACCTGAACATTATCCTCTCACCTTGTAAGGTGATTTTTTTATTATTAATAAAAGTCTAAATCTGCATGTTTCAATGTAAGAAATGAGTTAGATGCTCAAACTTCATGAAGGTCAGCAAACAGTCACCTGCTCAGGCACTTTTATCATTGTTTGTTTTCAATCATCTGAATTCTCATTTGCAATTAAGAGATGACAAAAAAAATAGTCGGAGCTTGTATGACTGAGAGCATTAAGATAAATAACGCCACTGCATTGGATGGCAATGGATTTACAACAGCTGCAGAATTTAAAATTTTAGTGGAATCAAGTACAGTTTTTTCTTCCTCTTCAAATACAGTACATTCTTTCTAACAGACACAACACTCTCTTCTAAACAAAAGGATTACATTTTTTGAACATTATAATCATGGTAAATAAAATATATTAACTAAAAGTCTTATTTTTTTAACTACTTAAATAGTTTTAGCACTATTTCCCTGCCCCATGCTGCTGTTCCCAGAAATTTGTATTTCTGAAACAAAGCCACTGTAGTGCATTCAGTAAGAAAAAATAATAGGATTTGATTATGTACGTGTCTCTTGTCATAGCATTTGGGGAATTAGCCACCATATATAGAACAAGTTTTTCTCATCAGCACTTATTTCCATACTTGCCTGATCAGATACATTGTACCAATCATAATCAAATGAATTGACTTTCTTGGTTTGAGAAAATGATAAGATGAACAAGTTGTAACAGGCTCGTGAGGTATAAAGTAGTATAACAGTCACTCCTATACTTGTCACCTGACAGACGGATGAACCCTAGGAGAGATTTAAACACAGGTTATTATTCATACGGGAAGTTGATGAGAACATTGTTTTGCATGGACCTTGGGGGTTGTTTCTCCATGACAAATGTGATTGACTTTTTTTTTCTTTCCTTTTATTGTATTTGATCACAATAGCATTTTCCAGCCCCCCACCAAAGGGCTGTGTCTCGTTCCTGCTAATGTTGGAGGAATGCTGTATTCAGAGCGATGGAAGTACATGAAGATTATACACGGTGTCAGGGGGAGCAGCAGAATTCAGCCTCCAGCTCCGCATTGGCCGCAGAGCATCCTGCACCAGGCACTCGCTCGCCAGCACAATGCAGCCTTGCTCCTCTTTATAGCTGCACAGCAGTGGGAATGCCTTTGGAAGGAGCAGCTCAAAGGAAATTCTGTGCAGTTATCCTGGAGCAGTGCTGGAGACCTGCAGTAGTGGCTCCCGTGAGCGCTCCTCCAGAGCAGGGAGAGGAAGGAGGCTGCAGAGTGAGACAGCAAGAGAATTTCTCAGTCCTCAGGAATGAAAGGGTCAGAGCAAGTAAAACAGCTTGGTCCTGCGGCAGGAACAAGAGCGGCACCCAACTGCTGTGCACAGGACTTGGGATATGCAGAGACCAGTAGCAAGAAGGGAAGGGATCCAGGAGCCAACAGTGCAAGATCAGTGTGTGATCATGGAGGCAGGCATGGGCACAGCAGTGGGAATGCCTTTGGAAGGAGCAGCTCAAAGGAAATTCTGTGCAGTTATCCTGGAGCAGTGCTGGAGACCTGCAGTAGTGCCTTGCACAGCCAGAGCAGGAAAGACAGGTTAGTGCTCTGCGCCCATTTAGAGGAACAGAATGCCCTGAGTTTCTTTGCTTCACTAGCCCTCTCCTTTCCCTCTTCCAGCAGGGACACACACCATGCAGATGGGCTCCTCTTCTACATATGAAAGAGGAACTAAGAGGCCCAGGACTGCTCTCCTCACAGGAGCCTTTATAGCAGAGCAGGAGGCACAAGGGTCTGCACCCGACTCCCTGCACGCGGACACTCTGCTCCGGGTTGCAGGCAGCAGAGGTGTGAAGAGCCACGGCAGGAAACTGCACATGTAGCGGGGTGCCTAGAGGCAGAACGAGTCACCAAATCACCGTGTCCGCAGCCCTGGCCTTCAGGAGAGCAACTAACCCCACTCCACTGCTCATCCCTGCTTGTGGCTGCTGTCCTGTGGCTCTGCTGTCCTGCCTGTTCCCTAATGTCACGAAAGAGGAGTTCAGGGACTGGACAAAAATCCAGCAGAAATCTAGTTTGCCTTCTTTCCTACAAAATTCACAGTGCAATCAATCTCTTTGCTTAAAACCTTGCTGGCACTGCCCTATTCCAGGGGCTATAACCTGTGGTGGTGCCTGTAGCGAGCCCAGCGCCTGCTCCCACATGCGAACTGACACCAGAAATAGAGTATGCGGCGGTGGGAGCCGTGGCAAGGCCGGCAAGCAGGAAATGCCACAAAGAGGAAACGTTTGCTGGGCACTTCTCTGTTCTCCCTGTGCATTAGGCAGCCAGCGAGGCAGCCAAGGAAACCCTGGGCGGGAGCGCAGAGAAGCTGCTGACTGGCACAAACTGTATCCACGGAGCAGCACTGACACACTGGGGACAGCAGAGCTGCAGAGCAGAAAGGCTCTGGTGTTCCCCTGTATGCGGGTGTGCTTCCTCATAGGGCTGTTCTCGGAAGGAGCTTGTGGTGCAGGGACTTGAACGCTTAAATATGCTGCAGGTCCAACAGCCTTTATGCCAAGTACAAAGAAGAAGAAGAAACACGTCCTATTTTCACTGGCTTGGTGAAGGGAAAACGCCAGGGCAAAGTGAAGGCAGAGGAAGAGTTTCTCAGTCACAGGCCACCACAGAAGAGGGGAGCCCTGGCTGGCAGCACATTCAGCCCGGATCCAGCCCAAGGCAGCACCAAAGGGACGGCTGCCTCAGCCTTGGTGCAGGAGCAGATCTGTCCCCTGGGCCCGACCACGGGTATCTGCAGGAGGCAGTTTAGTTTTCACCTTCACACCAGCCCCTGCCTACGAACATCCCAGAGTGCCTATTCTCTCCAACTCTCCTTCTGTCACATCCCTGGCAGGGATAGGATTTGTCTTTTTACCCAGTGTTTCAGCACAACAGTAGCAGATTAAACCAGGATGTTTTCCCACTGCTGGCTCCAGCGTTCTGTGTCCATAAATATGTGCAGTCCAATCCTACTGGAAGTCCCCAGAGGAACTCAAATTTCAGGTCAGCAGAAAGAAGTAAAGCTCTCATTAATGCTCATTCCCACATTCAAACTTACATCAAGTGAATGTTCTGCCTTTTCATTTCTGCAGCAATGTCAGAGTTTGTTTGCCTTTTTTTGTGTGTGTGTGTGTGTGAAATAGCTTGAAATAGAGAGGATCATGTTTCCAGCAGGAGAGGAAATGGAACAGAGTAATCTACCAAAGCCTCCCTTAGGTTAACACTGCTTTGTTACAGAGATTTACGCTTCTGAGACTTGCAGCAGTAGAGAATCTTTTCTTACTGGTAGAAATAATCCATTGCTCATGCCCTTTGGTCAGCAAATGGCAGATTTGAAAGAAACAAAACAAACAAAGCTGCGTTTTTAAGTCAGGGCTCAGCCATGAACTTTCAGTTGTGCAGTATGGCCAGATTTGATTAAATAGGAAAAATATTCCTTTCATCTGATTAAGCAAATGGAGAAAAGAGTTTCATTGCAGGATTTTCTAAATGCTAGCTGAAGAGCAATTTTTTGAAAGGTTTGCTATGGTAATAGGTATTGGTTATAGTAATAGATGTAGGTTAGTCATGTTAGCACTTAACCATTTACCACAACTTTTGTGATGCCACCAGTAAATCCAGCTGTTTGAGCACGGAATGTGTCCAAACATGTCAACCTAACAATATTTATTTACAAAACATTTTGTAATAAAATAGATTTTTCCCCCCTTTTACTCACTGGACTGAATTTATAATGCTTACATCTTTTAAAATGCCCTCTCACTATCTATAGGACAAATTCTTAGAGGGAATTTCATATTCTCCTTTCTGGCTTATCTTTATCACAGTGTCTTAAATACTTAAAATAATCAGTCGATAATTTGACAAGGCGAGGGATCCTAAAGTGTAGACAACCTTTATGTAGTGGTCCTGAAATTAAGTGGTCTTTGGATGGGGATCTGGAGAAAGCAGTATTTACCTGGAAAAGAGCTGTAAGAAACTCCAGCTATTACATTCTGCAAATTCTTTGTCTCAGAACACTTTATTTTGAGGTCTCTGGTGTTAGCCAAAAGTACCCTTGCTCCAACTACCATTTAGTTTCTCTGTGAGCAGGATGGACAAGTAGGTAGTAACTGTGAAGCTTAAGCTCTCAGGGGAACATAAAGAACCGCAGGCTTGCACTGCCCTCTGAGAAGGTACTGTAAAAGAACTGAAAATGGACCTTACCTTGGACTCCAAGTAAATGTTGGCTAAAGACATCTTGGAAATCTTATACAGGCAGATGGAGAGTGAGACTGCGCACAGCACAAACAACGTGTCATTAATTGCCACCCGGACAGAGACAATGACTTTTCTCTCTGAATTCTCTGTTCTCACCAATACAGCACATGTTAAATTCACCAAGAGGAAGAGGAGACTTATGAAAAGGGAAGCCAGGTAGAGGGGCAACCTGAGAGGAGGTGAGGAGAAAACAGAGTTTTAGCAACATTTTTCAGCAAGTGTTGGTCATGAGGTTGGTGCTGCACTCCGTGACAAAAAGGCCACATCTTGGGGCTGTGAGAGCTCCCAGAGAAACCCGTTGCCCAAAGCCTAAATTAAAGCACTCCAGCTTGCTGGAGTGCTGAATATCACCCATTTTAAACACGCTTTTAAAGTTCTACAATACACCATAAGAATCTAATGGCAAGCAACAAAACATGAAAGCATCTTAGTAGAACTGCAACAGCACAGTTCTTAAATATGACTTTAAAAATGCATGTGCTTTTCTGAGAGCATTCACGTCATACAGCACATTCCTGTTCTTGTGCAACTACTCACTTGCATAAGAAACCCTGCTTGGAAAACGAATTTGAGCTGCTTGGAAAACACTGCTTTTGATCTTGGTTTTAGTACACAATTAGTCCCATGAACAGCATCATTGATTGCCTATGTCTGCAGTCAGATTGCATATTAAACTAACAAAGGGTCTATTAGACCTGGGAGGAAAAACCTTCCAGGTACCAGCTCCCCTGCTCCTTTCTCTGTCCCTTTTCCCGAAATATCTTGATCATGAGCAACTTTTTGAAAAGAAAATCAAGAATTTTAAATATGCACATTGATTCTGAGTTAGCATTTGCTATCCATGCCAGGCAAAGTGTTCATTTGCATGGCCACAGGAGCAGAGCTGAACAGAACTGTGAAGCAGAGGAGCCTAGAAGCTGGGCTGTTTTCGCCCATCTCTTTTATTCATCTCTCCAGCTCTGACACTTGCAATACAAGTATGACATATACAGAAGGAAGGCTGCTATTAATTTCTCTTTACTCCTACACACAGCTGCAGAGCTTTTCATAAAAGAAAAAAAAAGTGGGTTTCCATTTCTAATGTTGCTTATTTCATTATCCCTGCTGACCAAGGCAATTTCAGATAAAGTCCGTGAGTTCAGTCGCAGAACAGCCCTTTATGTCTGCTGAGAATTTTGAATTTGGCTGATAGGAATGCCTAGATTATTTCTGAGGAATTGAAATCTAATCATTTTCCTTTTATCCAGTAGTAATCTTTTATTTCCATGTGCTCCTATCCTTTAGGGATGGTATCCACCCAGCTACAAAACTGAACAGTTGGAGTTTTTTGAGGACAGGAAAGGAGGTGCTGCATCTTTGGGACTGTTGAGATGTTTAACTGGGAGAACTGAAAGCGACAGTCATGTGTCTTCCCCTCCTCTCCCAAAACCCATGTAATGGACTCATCTCTGCTCCCTGGCTGCAATGCAGGTAAAATATTCTTGTGGGCAGCGGGCTGAGGAGGAAAGGTGGGCTCTCTCACAGCTCGTCTGCTTGCGAAAGGAACACGCTGTCTTGCTGCTCAGCTTCATCGGGGCCCTCCTGCTTGTCCTCGCTGTTGGCCTGCAAGCAGCGAAACTTGGAGGCCGCTTGGCCAGGCTCCTCCTTGCCTGGGCCTAGCAGAGAGGAGCAGCATGGCGCCGTCATGCCCGCACGCCCCACACGTGCCAGGGTGAGCGGCTGTGGCCAGCCTGTTGTGCAGTTATCCACATAATGATCTTCCATCGCCCTTATTAACCTGATGGCCGGGGAAGCGGCTGCCTGCTCTGACAACAGACACATTGTTGCTGAAGCCTCTGAATAGGCATCATGGAGATGAAGGCTACGCCTCTCCAGGCCGGTTTAGGGTCTGTGCAGCTGCAGAATGCATTACTGCCTCACTGAAAGGGAAAACATGTCACTAAATCTCAGCTACCAGGGCACCTACAAAGGGTGGATAAACATCTTTTTTTTTTTTTTTTTTTTTTTTAGGAAACAGGCAGGGAGATGTTCCCACATTACACTAGTGACTATTGTGCATAATCCTCCTCTTGGGGCCATTCCCTGAAAGAGGAGCGCTGTGTAACAAGAAGGAACTCTGGGGTAAGCAGGTGCTGGGGTGTCCTGCTCTTGCTGTGCTAGGCTGGATTCACCCTCTAAATTTTTCTTTGAACCTAAAATCAAACTTCAGCCGAATGCAGTGAGTTTTGGCAGGCTTAAGGGGAAAATCCGTGTGAAACTACCTCATTTTGTCTGTGGTTTCCTCAGAAACCATGCAGAGTCTGAGGCTTGTGTGTAACCAGGCTTGAGCACACAATACAATAAACCTCACCCAGACCGAGTGATGTTAAGAAATCCCCAAGCCCACAGATATGTACAGCAGGGCTGCTTAAATAGGAAGGGGACTGGCTCAGGCCTGGCCTTAACTCTTTCAGTTACCTTGTACCAGAAAGAAAATCAGGTCAGCTTTATATGGCCTTTAGATGCAGGCTAACCACATTCATGCTAAGAGCTGTAGACATCCAAAAAAAGTGCTAGCAGGTCCTTCACCACAGAGCTGCACAAAAGGAAGAAGGCTAAGCCAGACCCGAGAGTGCTCTGTTAGAAATGCAGTAGACAAGAGGCAGGGTAGACATGAAGCTATTGGGTGGGTAGTCTGTACAAGAGCAACTCAGGTCACAATATGGAAGCATTTAGGAATGGAAATGCTCCAAGAGCTATGTGCATGGTGCTGATGCCCTCATTGCATACCCATGGACTAAAAGTCACAAGCCCCTTTCCTTAAAGAAAGGCACTTTTGAGCAAATTTTTAAGAACAAAGCCTTGCCACATACATCAGCAACAGATGAGGTTCAAAGTTTCTGCCTCACCATGCTCACGTTGGGGCTGGCTGGGGACCTGCCTGCTGTGTGTCCGAGTGGTTGGCCAGCCCACACTCCTGGGTTTCCCTTCCACAGAAACCAGAGGGGATGCCAATTTGTGCACCATGGCGCTGACCAGGGAGCATTTGTCTCTTGTCACTTGCTGCTTGGGGATGTGGCCAACCTATGCACACAGACCCACTCACTTGGAAGCATTCCTGGGTCCACCAAACAGATGTAGCCTTTCTCTTTGCACCCATTCACCGGCTGTATCAGCTTCTCTCCAGCAAGGAGACCCTCATCCCTCAGCCAGCAACCCCTGCCTGGCCCATACCCTTCTTGGTCACCAACACCAACACAGGCCACCTCCCACTGCTCTCACTGTATATTCCACCAAACATGGCTTCTGAAACATTTGCTCCACTCCTCTGCCTCTCCAGCTGTACCAAAACCCAACCTGATAACAAGCTTTCCAGGGCAAGAACAATCTTAATATTTGACCTGTTGATACAGTGCCATATTCTGCTGAACAGAAGCCAGTGACAGGTCAGATTACAGTTGCAAACTACCCTGCTTTCCTATCCTGACTTTTGATTGTAAATTCTTTAGAGAAGAGACAGCCTCTCTCTCTTATCCTAGCTAAACAACTTTGCCCTTGACTGAGGCTTCCCGGTATTGCAACAATAAACATTAATTTATTGAACTCTTCTTCAGCTTCCTGAACTTCTGCCACCTTTTGGGGAGTTTCTAAGTAGATCCTGACAACTCCTCCAGCTCAAACAAGATCTCAAACAAATCACTTACAAAGCTGATAAATGCCTCAAAACTCTGGAGTTAGGAGAAGTTATCTGTGAGCTCCCAGACACATCACTCAGATGAGTCTATTCTCACTACCTCCCTTTACAAGTTTTCTTTCACCTTCTCAATGATTTTCAGTTTCTCTGTTATTATCTCTGTCCTCAATTCTGAATTAATTCTGAATATCCAGTCTCACTTATTTCTGTTACAGTGCATACATCACCCTGCTACCTTTACCAAAGCGGTGGATTTGAATACCTCAACATACAGAGTTTCTTTTAGAACCTGTAAACAGACTGCTAAGGTCAGTGTTTCCTGCCTGCAACGGAAATACTTGCCTTTGAAATATCTGAATGTCTAAAAATAGTGTTTGTGTTGGAAAATTACATGGACTTCTAAATGTCTCAGGAGAGAGGCTGGTGTCAGAGCCATCATTCATCATTATAAAACTTTTATATATAAATACGAGTGGTTGTGACCACTGCATATTATCAAAGATTCAGTGTTCTCCAAATGCATGGCTACTTTTCTTTGCCGCAGTTCTTACCTGTATTTGAGTAGCTCTGGGGAATATTTTGACTTAGCCTTGAAAATCACCTGCAAACAGAAAAATATTGCATCAGACACAGGATACACACAAGTAAAGAAAGACACAGTGATCTACAGGAATCCTGCCTCTCACATCACATGAAGTGTAATGAAAGGTTTCATTACACACACAAAAAAAATGCATTTGTGGCTTATCCATGGCAGGCAACCAATAAACAAACTATTAAAACCACTCAGGAGTTTATTAAGATATATCTGTATACAAATCGTCTGCATCATTATTTTTTGCTTATTTTGACTTGGGAATAAGGTCCTTTATATCAATGTTCGCAAGAAGCCCAATGGCAGTACAATCCAAAAGGTAAATAATTATGCCATTACATTGCCTGGCAGTGTATGTGTCTCATGCAATCAGCTCATACTAGCATATTGGCTCAGATGCTCTATTCACATAAAGAGCCCTCAGTACCCTGCCTATAGCTTGCTGGCCTGAAATTGGTTATGTATGTTGAAACGTGTCATATTATCAGAAGGATGTTGGTGAGAACCAAACTCCTTGTTTTACTCTCAGGTATGTTTGCCTTCCACTGACTTACGTTCACTAAGAGAACAGTACATATTTTTACAGTGAGACAGCTCAGGCACAATACTTGTCTTTCTGTAGCAGAAAAGAAAAAAATACTGATGCTTCTGCTACCCAGTAGCTACATAATATTAGCCTCAGGTATTTAAAAACATAAGCTTCAAGGGAAGCATCATTGCTTTTTCGTAAGCTAACACAACTTCAAGTAAACTGTATTTATAAAGGTCATTTATTTAAATTCAGCAGTCTGCACTGAAACACACCAATTACTTGTATAACAGGGAAAAAAAGCCACCTAGCTTGTGTGGGTTATTTCCGAATCATTTTCTTCTCAACTTATCTTGCTTTACCCATTCATTTGGTTTTGCATGCACTTTAGTGTATCTTGCATAAAATTTTCTAGGATTACCATACCTTCCCAAGGAAACAGGGCTTACATGATCAAGATGCATATGTAGCCATGCATCTGTTGTGAAACTCTCTAGCAGTCCGCCACTAAGTGTCTGGTCTCTGACTGTCTGGTCAGAGAAGGGAAGACAGAATTACTGAAGTGTCAAGGACATGATCTTTCTATCACCCTCTTAAAAAACAGTGACTCTACTGAAGTGTCAAGGACATGATCTATCACCCTCTTAAAAAACAGTGACTTGATGGAAGTGAGGGACCCTGTAAATGCATCTCTAATATGCCTTGTCTAGGCAGAATACTGCATAATGTTCCTAAACATTACCCTAAATGAGAAACTCTGCATAGGAAAGTACCATAAGAAATACCCTAGTAACGGAAAAAAAGCTTCAATCACAGCTCAAAGTCAAGCATGAGACACAGATCTGGAGAAATCAGGCCTCACTTGTTCCAGTGTTCCTGGAACAACTTGTCACTTAACTCCTATTCACCATAAATAGCTCCCTTTACATGGAAATTATTTCTGTGGCACATCAATCTGCTTAGCACTAGGTGAAACAGTAGAGAGAATAGAGCGTTTTAGCAGCCCTGCAAAAATAATAGCTGAGAATAAAATTGAGAAATTGAAGAAAATCCCTAAAAATATTCTGCAACCATGGATACTGTTTTCAAATAGTTAAACACCTCCGGCACTATCCCTTATAGAAGATATTTATGATTCGTTATCTGAATATCTAGACCATGAATTCTCACAAGCATTCAGGAGCAAGTCTTACGTTATTTACGTGCTATTCGAAGGAAAGATATAACAAGTTTGTGAATATTTCATGTTTCTGTGGCTCAGTTGGGAGCTGGCAGTTTTCAGAGGAGAGATTCGTTTCCAACCCGTACTCTTTTTTTATAGCGCATTTTGCCTGCCCTGTTTATTCTGCAGGACATTGTGGACAACTGGGGAGTAAGCAGATTCCTGACCTAATTTAAACTGAACAGGTAAAACTTGTCTCTAGGGCTATTCCACAACCCTCACCTGTTCTGAGTAGCACCTACTCACACATATTGTACCGTTAATTTTGACAACTTTCATGAGCAGTACCGACCAGGAGTGTTCAAGCTAGTGCACAAACCCACCACCCGCAACAAGCAATTTGCAGTGGGCCACGCATTAGACTGAGTTCGGAGAACCTAGGAGATTCACAGGTTCCAGAACCATCCAGGACCATCTCCTGTGGTCCCCGAGCAAGACCCTCTCACCGTGAAATGTTATGGTGCACTCCTGTCCCAAGACGCAGCACAAGTCTGCCCGGCTCAGCAAAGCTCCATGGCGGGCCCAGCTAAACCAGACATGACACGTTCCTGTTGCAGGTAATGTGCAGGACGACATCTCCCAGGGTGAGACTGCCAAAACAGCTGTGTTTCTGCGATTCTGTATTGGGTGCCTTATCCTGTGAGCACCCTTGCTGGAAGCACTGTGGTTGTCCCCAAAAAGAGGCTGTTCCATGGGACTAAGGATGTCAGAAGCTGATCTCTGTTCACCTTATGTATACGGGTGCAGCTTTTTGCTTTTAGGAGTCCTTTAACTGAAAGCACCCTGCCAGAAAAGACTGGTTGCTCAATGGTCCCTCCCCACAGGAGTGTTGAGAAAGCTTCCAGTCAGTATCTGAGTCATCTAAGCAAGTCCTCCAGCAAACCAGAGCAAACCAGGCTACTCCTAAGAATAGACTAAAGAGCCAGCAGAAGGCAGATTTTTTTAAAAAGATATTTCAGAGAGCCCCAAGATGAATAGCAACAAGAGAAAAAGCAAAACAAAACAAAAAACCAGCTAGTGAAATTCCTTGCTAATTTTCTAACATGCAGAAGATTACTTTTTCTTCTTAAAAACATTCCTCTTTTGCTTGTTCTTTAAAATAGAAGTACACTGTTTTGATTCATTTTTGCTAAAGAACTGGAAACCTCAACCTCAAATGAGATTCTCACACTCTCTCCTCCACTCCCCTGAGGTAGATGTCTGGCACCCAGAACTGCAGCAGTACAAAAGGGCTCCAAGCAGCCCCTGAGCCAAGGAAAATTCCTCTCTTGCAGGAATTGATGCAGCCAGTTGCAAGCTAACCCTGCAGTGCTGGAGCCCCAGCAGATGAGCAGTGGGGTGGCAGGAGGGCCCGCGGGCAGTGCAGCTGGAAGTCAAGGGGGCTCCTGTACGGCTGTGCAAGTACATCAGGAGCCTGTCCTGGTGAGCGCACTGTAAGTAGCAGCATTAAGGGTCAAAGCCAAGTCAGATACATCCAGAGCAAAACAAAAATAAAAATCTCCCTCAGGCAAGTTTAAATCCATGCTCTGATTTAGCTGACTTGATGTGACTGCTGGCATAGACCTCCAGTGTACTCCTAGGTCTAGCTGAACCAATTCACTTTCACAGGAACCACAGCTCACCAGAAAGCCTCAGGTATGCGCTGAGTGCTTGCATACATCTCCAGATGGCTCCTACACAGGAATGAAGTTTAGCTTTATTTTCCAGTTCTCACTTCAGAAAACTGCAGAGATCAGAATGTGCTTTTCCCTCTCAGGTCTTTTCACCCCTCCCCCCCTCTCCCTCTCTCACATTCTTCCATGCAGATTTCTTTTTGCACCTTGAAAATCTGTCTCATGCAGGCCCAGACCCACCCCATCAGCTTGAATACCTTTTCTCTGCTATGTGTGTTCAGTCTGAGGCCCACGTGCCCCTTTCCGTTCACCATGTTCATTCTTTCATGTTAAATATTTCTACTTTTGGATCAGATTCCCCAAAATATGCCCAGCCTTCTCCCTACTCTCTAAACTTGCAACATGGTTTGCAAGGCCTGCTTACATGGACAACATGATTCACTACCATATGCAGCCTCGTATAACCTTGTTAAAACTGACAGGGGTAGGAGAGGGACCATCATGGGTCTTGTAGTCACAATAAACTTGCATGTGTAGCTTTCCCATCAAACCATCTGCCAACTGAAATCACCTTATTCCTTCTGCCAGATGCTGGCAGACAGCATCTCTGTGTGAAGGTCTAACTTGGTCTCCTATGGACCCAACACACTTGCTGATGTTTAACCATCTGTATTTTGACTCCTGGTGTCATCCTCTGTGCATGCAGCCTAGGGCATGCCTTAAATTAATATAAAGCTGTGTAAAGAATGTCTGTTATTTTTGTCAAAAATACAAAAATAAAAAGCCCTTTCTGTTCTATCTCCGATGGTATTACATTTAAAATTCTATCCAGAGTAATTAGAGGATAAGTTCTCTTAATTTTCTTCACAGAGATAACATGTACCTCAATTAGAATTCCACTGAGATACATAACCTCTCTGAAAGAGCTGCAATGGTTTTCCCCCACCCTTCAAAGCACTCCTAGCATGGCCAGCTCCTCTCCCAACTGTCTCACCCGGCACAATTTCTCTTCATTTGAAAGTCCCTGATTTTTATCAGCCCTGCCTGGGAGGCAGAGTAAACTTCCCAATCTAGATGCTAGAGAAAGGAAAGGTGACTGGGGAAGAGGAAGGAGAGCTAAATGCACCTACCAGCCCTTCTCCACCTACAGAGCCTCCCAGGTCTTCAGCTAAGGACACCTTACCTGGGTGTGGGAAAAGGCAATGGTTAACCCCCCAGCCCACCAAGTAACTTCCTGTGCCTGGCCACAGAAGGTGCCTGGGATTTCCAACAGCCCCTAACACTCATAGGCTTTGGCCTTAACCTTTTTTTTTGAGCCTGCAACTCTCCATCCCAGCCTTCCTCTTCCTTCACTTGCATCCTGTTCCCCAGGGAAACATTAAGTCTGAAACGAGCAGAACAAATTGGAGCAAGCCCTTCCCTGCTGCCTCTCACCCCACCCTCATAAAAGACAAGTTTTTACTTTCTTTTATTTTCTTTCCCAGATCCTTTTTAAGCTTAAGTGACAGTAAAGCCTGAGGACTCATCCCAGACTCCCCTTGCCATTGGCAGGGCAGAATGGAAGGTTTGGCCAGGCAGGACACAAACAAAAGAGCGCTTGAGTGCTGGGATCCTCGCTGTCCGGATTTGGGTAAAGTGGAAAATGTTCTTTGCCAGTTTACAGTCTTCATCAAACAGCCAAAACCAGAAACAACAACTACAGAACTGTGGTAGCTAAGCAGATCTATGGACTTTTCAGCCTCTCTGGGGGGAAATGCACACTTCTGTTCACTAACTGGTTGACCAGGGATTTTTTCTGGCTTGGTATTGCTGTTGGGCTGTTGTTTTATAAAAAGTGCCTCTTGATGTCACTTTCATTTAAGACTTCCTTTAATGATTTCTAAGTAAACAGAGGCTTATCCTGAGAGGTAGGTCTACCTTTATAAGACAAGAGAATAAATGCAGACAAAGAATTAATAAATTATCCTCAGTTGTTTTACTAGAGATGACGTCTTTTTCTGCAGTACATGATTTCTGAGAGGATGTAACATTACATATACCTTACCTTTAGCACTCTTAATGTTCTGCTATAATATATATATATTCTGCTATGTAGGCCCCTAAGGAATTGTTCTGAGTTGCAACTATTTAGACGGTAAATTCTCTCCTGTCTGCTGGTCCTGCCTCAGTGCATTTGAGTTCCTTCTCTTTTTGCTGGTGAAGGTGATGAGCAAATCTGGGAATAACCCCTGCCGTGTTGTCACCACTGCCTTATTTGTCCTGCTACACAAAAGCACAGTCCAAATTCCTGACCTCATTGCTTAGGGATACCTTTCTAAAGGCAACAGTTGTGGCTAACTTCCTGTTGGTTTCAAAGCTGCTTATTATTCTAAAAAATGCCCTCAGGCACTTGTCAAGTAAGTTTTTTTCTTTGGCTAGGAAGACCTGCAATTTTTCAGAGCTAATTTTTCCTCTCATACCTATGTCTACAAGTGTTCTTAGCAGCAATCCCCCATGTAGAAATGTACATGCGGTAGAACGGGTAACAAATATTCCCAAGTTCCAGACTCATGATGTCTCCTCTAGCCCCTGTCTATGTGCTATACCAAGTAATTTCTTGTCCTCTACCTTAGCACCAGTTAATTAGCATGGTTTCCATGTAACGAGACACAGGCGTAGTCCCTTTCCTTTCCGGTGAAAAAAAAAAGGGATAAAAGTTCCTTCTAAGCAGGTGTGTGAAGTTACAAGCCATTACTGAAAACAAAATTCTCTCTCCCCACCCCTTTCACACTAGTTCTTGCTTGCCTGCCATGGAGAGCTAGATGCACATTAAACATACAGTCTCAAGAAGATGCTGAATTTCAAGCCAAACCACCTTTTAATGGTTAGAAGTAAAGAATTAATAACAGTAAATTAAAAGTGTGTGCATTGATTCCATGTCTTACATTATATGCTTAAAATGGCTGTGCCTGCATTTCTTAAAGCTTTTCTTTGGCTGGGGAGATATTTGAGATGAAATTTCATGGGAGCAAACAACTCCAAAGCAAACAGCTATATTAATAATATGCTTGTCTACAGTGGCTCACAATCTTTCAAGATTCTGAGACATATCACAAAGTCTTAAAGTCCCTTTAAATTATGTTTCAAAAGCCTCAGAAGAGCTATGTAAGCCAGCTAACCATTACACTCTTTTATAGAAGGGCTCAGAGGAAGATTGTGAGGGCTCACAGTGACAAAGCAGAAACTGTGTTAAAGGCAGAACCGGTAGCCTTAGCATTTTTCATGTTTGCAACCACTGACTCGTACTTCCTTAATGGTATCAGACAGCAATGCCAAAAATAAGTTAAAAGGACACACAAGTGCATTCTGTATGCTTTCTTCTTGGACTTTTCCCCAGGCAAAAGGAGTTAGTTACTACAACACTAAGCCCCTGAGTGCTGGCACAGAGTGCAGACTGCAGTGCATTCTCCGTGCTCGCTTCATTCTCAGCTTCTCTTGCCTGAAAGCCAAAATACTTCAGACTCAAGCCTTCAATGGGAGCTCTACATGCGTGTCTGAGGGAAGAATCTGGCCCAGGGCTATGATTTAGCTGCTGTGGTGGCGATGGACTCTGCATGATGATGGGCATTTGCCCCTTGGGAACTGTACCATCATCAAAGGTCTCTCACAACAGCCGTGGGATAAAGCAGAGGCCCGTACATGCCTGAGCTGGATTTGAGCAGTGCATAGTTGAAAGGCTCCTGTAAGCCTCTGATATATCTCAAGTCCGGGGGGATGGAGCCGTGAGTTAGTAGGTGTTTCAGATACTGAATCTAGAAAAGCAAATAAACATGCAAACACATCTATGTGGTTCTAAGTATTTAATATGCTCCTACAGTCCTCCTGCAGCCTTCATGCTTTTACCTCCACTTTTGCAGCTCTGGGCTGGCAGCTCTCAGGAGCAGCCTGAGCTCTCCAGCCAGGCCCATGGCAGCCATAACCACTGCAGATGCACTAGCCCCTGTCCCACGCGGGTCCCTAGCAAAGGCCAGACTGCCCCAAGCACTCCCGCGGGTGCTGCGGGACTCGCTGCCGCTCTCGTGGCCATGCACTTGTGCTGGGAAAGCAGCCTGTGCCATCAGTCACATGCGGGCGGCCCTGGCTTCTTGCTCACAGCCCTGCAGTGGGGTTCAGGTGATACCAAATGAAGCCTCTGCCCTCCTGGAAGCTTCCTGGGAGATCTCAGGCAAGCTGGGCAGCCTGTCTCTGCCTCCAGGCTGCCATCCCACCTGCACCCCGGTGCCGAGGCAGCCAAACCCACTCCAAGTGCTCCCAGCAGGTCTACCTGCAGGAACGTGGTGTGCTCCGCGCTCTAGTTCTTGTGGCTTCTCAGGTGCCTGCAGCACAGATACCCTCTCTAGGCTTCTTTCTAAAGCACAGATACTATACCCTTCCCCCTCTATACAGCTAATTCACCATCATATCACAGTGCCCGTGATGCAGGAGTATCTCTGTGTAGCACCTAGCACTTACAGGGGCCTGGACACAAACAGTCCTTGGAGCTATTTGTAATACAGATCGTAACAGGAATGTGAGGCTGCAGTGGGTCTCTATCAACAGTTTGACTATTAATACACAGAACAGAAAGCTCCTTGCTCAGAAACACATTAGCAAAGCTACACAAACTCTGAGGGCTGTCAGCAAAATCAGAAATTTCAGTTCTGACTGCACACAGGGATCCGGTTTGCTAAGCCAGAAAGCTATGGGGTCTAACAATGACAATAGCAACTATAGAGAATTACAGAATTACAGAATGGTTAAGGTTGGTTTAACCTTCCAGCTCTGCTGTATTTTTTTTCCCCAATCTTTAAATTAAATGACACCATTTTAATGTACAGCAGATATATCTTTTTGCCGTTCCTGAAGCAACCATGTCAGGCTCTGGGTTTCACTCTCACACTGATCGGTTGCGTTTAATCGAAAGTTAAATTCCCAACCCAATACCTGAAACATGCTTCTTGCCCTACCCAAATACATTAAGAAATCATATCTTATATCTCATGAACCTTAAAAAAAAAAGAACCTAAAAAAAAAAAGCTACAGTGAATAATGAGATTTAATCAACAGAATGTCTTTTGCTTACCTGTGTGAAGTAAAGATTCATCAGGGTCAGGGTGAAAAACTGGAGGCAGACTGGGAAGCAATAGAGAAGCCAGAAGATGAAGGGGCTGAGAGAATTTGCTGTGACAAAGTCTTTGAAGTAAAATGAAAAGAGCACAGTCCTAAGGGAGGCCCAAAACAAGCACAGAAACAGAAAGACAGTTTGGTAACTGAACCTCTTGTGCCTGTAGTGAAGGACCAGCCAGAGCTGGACGTAGATGAACACAAAAAGGAGTGAATAAAAAACAGTATATACAATGGTCAGGCCCAGCTTCACATACGGAGGGACAGCTGGCGTCAGGGTCGGCGGAAGGGTGTCATTTTTCAGTGGGTCCCACTCGGGGGCCTCCATTTGATATGAGGAGTCGTCAGAATTATTTATTAAGTTTGGCTGCCGCTGTTGCCTCCTCCTCCTGCTCCTTTCATCTTCCTACAGCATAGGAATCAAGAAAATGAAAGAAAACAAGCTGCACTTCCTCTTTGGCAGCTCGCTGTGGGCTGGTAGCACATGATCACAATTCAGAGTGATTCATTAGGGCTGCCTTTGTCAGCAACTGGCAGGGAACGGCGCAGAAAGCTGCCCTTTACTGATGCTTGTGCACAGATCTCCACCATCCTCAAGAAACAAAAAAATCCACCCGCCCCCATACAGCATACTGCCGATTTTTTTTTCCTTAGGAAAATCATCTGGATTTTAAATTAGTTCAGTAATGTTGTGTTTTCTGCAATAAACAGCTACCTGACGTTTTTCCTGCTGGTAATCACATCATATGTTCTCAGGATTTTTTGTTTTGCTTTAAAACGTACTTTATTTAGCTGCATTTCACTATAAATAATTTTACATAACATACTCATTAAATGCAAAACACTGCAATAAGCTGCAGCAGTTCAGCTCTGTATTGCAGAAACCTTTGTATCTATAAAGGAGAGTCTGTATCCTTTATGTCTGTAACAAATACAAATTTTGCACAGCAAATCCAACACATTCAGCATCCTCTTTTTAACATCCTACATTCCTCTAGAATGGTAGCAAAGGTATATGAGCCTCTCCAAACGTGCTGAACAGGTTCTCCTTGTCTTGGCTGTTGCCTATGTGTGCCATCGCTGTGGCAACACTGACCAAACACCCCTTCTGGCACATATGCCCCTGGGATCCAGTCTATGAATTAATAGGTGCTACTGCAGGCTGCCGGGTTTGACTTACAGGGGTGAGAAGTGAGAACCGAAACTCAGTGGTTCAGATACTTGCAGCACGGTGGAAAGGCTTAACGTATCTTTAGGTCATGTATAGCATCTTATAGCATCGAAAAAGAAGCTTGTTAAAAGGTGCCATGGTTGTGGCTAGCACAGGGCTGTGTTTTGTTCTATTGCTTGCAGCAAACTGTTTACAAGAAGTACTTCTTACCTGGAATGATTCTCAAGGAGGATCCCCACTTTTCTGGTGAGCAGGGTGAGAAAATTCCTTTGGCACAAGAATCCATGTAGGAAAGGCTAACACAGCTTAGGGTGCAGGAGATTTTGCTATTGACCCTGAGTACTGAGATAATGAATGCCTCATCCTGAAAGGAGTCAATGAGGACTATTATTTTGTTGGAAAAAAGACAATTATTATGATAATCGTCTGGATTAAGTATACGTATAGTACATATAAGTTTGTATAGTACTTTAAAAAGATTTTTAGAGATGCCTGTCATGCCCCCCCAAAATACCTACACAGAACACTTAAAGCTATGCTCCAAAATTCATGCTTAGGTACTAAAATGTAAGTGGTTTGATTTCAAGGTGATATGCAAACTCTGCTTCTATTAACTGAAGCAGATCTGCTGTGTGTTCTCCATGCTACTGTAAAGGAGAACATGCATGCTGAGGAGCCCAGAAACGGACTGAAGACCCTCACTATGAACAAGCAGGTTTGGAAACTTTGGATATAAAGCCCACTGAAGCAGGGTGCTGCACAACACTGAGTGGCCACACACACACTGGCTACATTCAGAAAACAGTGAATAATGGGAAAGAGGAAGGAGGACAAGAACCGTCAAAAAAGCAAGTGCGTCACTAACCACGTACTTGGTCAGAGATATGTTATAGCAGGCATGGAAAGAAGAGTTTTATGGTTTCAGTATAAATAATCTTGGACTGAGTTTTCTATTAGCACCTGCTTCTAGTTCTTGCCTATCTTCCAGAAAATTAAAAAAAAAAAAGTAAAACTGACTCACTGCCAGAGCAGAACACCAAGAACTCAGCAGTCCGTGAAGCAAGTCTGTAAGAGCAGTGTTCAGGGTAGTGCTTCCATTATGGAAAGACAGGAAGTTTGAAGAATATGTACAGCAAATAAAATAAATAGATGCAATAATTCCAATACATACTACAGAAGGCTTTGTTCCCCAGACCAGGAAAGCGTCTCCCCTAGATTGATACATACTTCCTTCTAGCTGCCAAGGAAAACCTCTTCCTAGCCTCTCCCAGCTCTCCTAACGGCCCGTGCTGCCCATGCCTCGGAGCCTCCCCGGGGGCAGTGCGTACACACACTATCTAGAGGCCAGAGGGCAGCGATAATGAGACTCGGTGGGTTACGCGCTGCCTCTCTGCGCTCAGCACATTCTCATTCTGCTTGTGGCTAACATTAACCCAGCGGGGCCCAGGAAACCTCTGCTGCTTTTTATCAGTGACCAGTGACAACTGTGCACAGCTGGCGCTACAAGACTTTAACCTTCTAAATGAGGGTAAAGGCTTCAGTGACACACCATCAGCAAAAACACCAGGGTTTTCAGACTGCAATACACCTGTAACATACTACAAAATGTACAGAATAGCAGGAACCCATTTCCACACAACAGCGTGTGTGGAAAGCAACCTTAGTGCCCCTGCGGATGTGATTGCCCACCTGTGATTCAGGGCTTGAGAAGAGCCACAGAAGGCTGCTGCTCCCTTGACCAGGTGCTCTCAGGAACAGCAAACCACAGCAGCGTGCAGACCATGTTGCAGACTCATGCCCTGCCAGCCGCTGAGGTTGGTTGGGAAACCCTATACTGGAGCATTAAAACTTTTGAATGGACGAAACTTCCCATTCAGCTCTCCAGTACCTAAGGGCTGCAGCCTGCAGCAGTCTTCATCATATCCCTGCCGTCGGGGGATGTTGGGTAATTCCGGAGGATTTGTTTGTATCACTGTTTTTTTTTTTTTTTTTCCCCTAAAGGTCAGTGTCCAAGGGAAAGAGCATGAGTGGAGCTTAAGGGTTCAAAAAGTTGCTTAGATAGGCTGTCACACTGCTGTTTGACTTCAGAGGATCAGAAATAGATAACACAAAGCATCTGGATTCTGAGAGTTGAAATGCTGCCCTGTTCCTGAGCAGAAGGGTCCAGGATTCCCATCTTTAATGTCATTTGACCTTAAGAGGTCTGATGGCAACACTGTTAATGAATCACTGTGTCTTCAAGTACTCTGCCCCTAATGATTCTCACCATCCACAGCATAGCTTAAAGTTGTTTAGAAAGGGCTTTGCAGAAAGTGGCACTTCTAGAGAGTAAAGAAAGTTGTTAAAATTTTTGTTAGATACCGAAACATCTTCATATGTGATTTTATACTCTGACTGTCCAGAGAATTGTCCTCAGTTATACTGGTAGCTTTTCATCCTTTTGAGGTTTCATGCTTTTTTGCATTGTTTCTTACAAGTATCTGGTTTCTTACAAACACCCTGATTTAACTCTTGCGTGCTGAGTAAAGAATCACAGCAGGACCTAAACGTATGTCCTTCTTCAAAAGTTGCTCTTCCATGAAGTTATCTGAAAAAAAAAAAAAGCTCCTGAAGGCTCTCCATGCAGTTCCAGCACAGCAGAGGCACACCAGGACAGGCTGCCAGGTAGGCAGACCTCCTTCTGAATAAAAGAAAAAGAAAATGGTGGTTCAGCATTTCCTTTCTGGTTCAGCATTTCCTTTTTGCTCTGCACAAACACCGTGAGGCTTGCGATTACTAAAACTCACATCAGCATTTCAAATGAAGTAACTCCTCTTGCTATTTCTACCCAACAAATGAGTGGGACAGAAACCCATTATTGAACAAGATCAGTCAATGAACTGGTGGAAAGCGGAAGTGTAGAGGTCATTTAACTTAGACAAAAGGTAAAGATATTGTGGAATTCATGATTTGATTCACCTGGCCACACTCAAAACTCAATATCATGTTCTTTAAGTAAGTTCTTTAGTTATACTTTTCTCCCTGTCTAGTTAGGAGTTCTTAGAAAGGCAGATTTCTCTGAAGCCTTCATTAATGTGGCTATTAGTGAAGAAGAACTTAACTACATGTCTGTGTTTACAACTTAGGCCATTGCAATTTGGTATGTCAAACAACATAAGGTATCCTCATGAGAAATGGTGGTCAGGATGCAGGAAAGAACAGACATTTTCTTACAGCAGGTTCAGGAATATAACTTAACTAAAGGATGGGTATCTAGGCTGGAGCCCGTTTGACACCATGCTGAAGGCATAATTTGTGTGTGTTTGGATTCTGAGAAGCTTATACTGAAAGCTTGCTGAATGCTACTGCATTGCAGACCACAAGTGCTTAGCCTTGGAAAACACTGTTGATGGGATACTTCTGTGCCTTGCTCTATGTGGGCTCGTCTCCAAGTCATGGGCCTCATCACTGCAGTGCCAGGGCCTGAACAACAGGCCCGAGTCAGGGTTGACTTACAGCTATTCAGCTGCCTTTGTAGAAGTGCACACCATTCACCTGTAGAACTGCTTATGCTAACCTGCGCGTAGGCTTATTAAACTGTAGCTTTTGTAGGCTCTCGTGAAAGTGTTTTTGACCTTGAAGGGAACCCTCCCATCTGAGGCCTGGGCTCTGGCCAGGTCCCAGTGCTGGATGATAGGGAAAGTCTGACATACCAGATGTTACCACTCACAAAGAGAATGCAAGTTATCATGATTTGCTGATTTGGCTCTATAAAAGCTGGACCCTCTTGCCACAACTTTGGAGACCTCTCTTAGAGGTGGACGCACAGTCTGATGGGGCTGGTTTCCCAGACGAATGCGTGGATGCAAGACCTGTGTGGAGACGGAAAATGGAAGCAGATGCTAATGGGCAGCAAATGAAGAAGGATGTGGTTTAAGATTTTACTAAGCACGAAGTGATTGATATAATTGAAAGATTTAAGCAGAGATCGGAGGAGTCCCTGCTCTTGTGGATGGCACATTTACATGATCAGGGAGCTGCAGGAATAACCCCAGATGCACAGGATTCTAAGAAATTTTTGATTTTGAGCTCAGATTCTTTTGTACAGGATGCATTTAGAAATAACACTCAAGACACAAACTTGTTGGCACTGGCTGTTCAGGGATGCAATAATAAATACCCTACAGGAAATGACTGGCCAAGATCTGAACATCAACGGTATATTTTGCGAGGCTATACACAGCGAATAAAAGAGGATGCAATGAAGTTGGCCATTTTTAAGGGGGATGCTGATACTCTGCTGTGCAATGCCCTGCATGTTACCATGAGAAATAGACTGATTAGAACTGCCCCACTAGCAGTATAAAAATGTAATTATGACCCTTCTGATTAATGAGACTGGGAATCCCTTAGATGAGGTAATTGAAAAAATACAGCAGCTAGGTGACCTTGGGATTGACGCCCCCAGCGGGGGGCTGAGAATCGAAATAATCCCCGAGGCAGCAAAATCAGGATTTCTCAAAGAGAAATGTTTGCTGTGTTATTAAGAGATGAGATGTCTCATGATAAGATTGATGGTATCTCAACCCCTGATTTATGGAAGATGCATTAACAGAGAGGGCTGAATACGCCCCACAAGATAGTGCTGAATTCTAAAGTGAAAAACCCAGGAACAACTCAGCCTACAACACCCCTTTCGGAGCCCTGACGGGGCTTCACATTCCCTTGCGCAGGGTCCACCACGAGTGGATCAGATGTTCTGGGGGAGAAGGAAGTTTGGGAGCCGCACTTTGACTTGTAGCCTTGGCAACAGACTAGTGAAATAGTTCAACATGAAACAGTACAACACTCCGGGGGGCATGAAGACATTTCACAGACAATTAAAGACTTAGTAAAACCCACTACCACTACTTAGTAAAACCCACTACCACAGCTTGGAATAACCCAGTATGGCCCATCAAGAAGAGTGATGGGTCATGGAGAATGACAGTAGATTTCAAAGAATTGAACAAACATACCCCACCTCTTACAGTAGCTGTACTGGATATTGTCACCTTGATAGAAAAAATCCAGAAACATTCTGGACCTTAGTATGCAGTAATTGATTTGGCTAATACTTTCTTTACCATAGCCATTGCTAAGGAGCATTGGGATCAGATTGCCTTTACGTGGCAGGGATATGTTCACCAGGTTGCCCCAGGGATGGCTGCACTGTCCAACCATTTGTCATCGAACAGTGGCTGAGCACTTGGATGAGATAAAGCTGCCCCCTCATATGCGATTAATGCATTATATAGATGATATCCTGATCCATAGGAGCAGTGAGGAGGAAGTGCTATAAGCCCTTTAATTAGTTGCAGATCACATGAAAAAGAAAGCCTGGGAAATTCAAGGACTGTCCCAGACAGTGAAATTTTGGGGAATTCAGTGGCATTGAGGGCATTGGGAAATATTACCCAAAGCTCGACAGAAAACTTTAGATTTTGCAGTATAAATCAAAACCAGACAAAAGTTATCAACACCGGAATAGGAATTCAAATTCCCCTAGGACACTTTGGTTTAATAACTGCTCATTCAAGTTTAGCTTTGGAGAGTGTTCATGTCACAGGAGCAGTGATTGATGCAGATTATCAAGGATAAATTAAAGTAATCCTGGAAATAATGGTGAAAAAGATTTGGTTATTCAACCCCATGACAGAATATCACAATTATGGATACTGCCAGCATTGCAGTTTGATGATAGGGAGCAAATTTGGTAAGAGATGAATCTCCTTGCGTTCCGAATGATCCTCAAAGGTTAGAGGGACTGAGGGCGGCTGGACTCATCTCTTAATAGAGATACCAAATACTGTGGAAACTATAGGCCCAACTCTGGCAGTACTGGATTCACAAACAGTCTGTCAACCGTAGGTCCCATCACCTTCCTAGGAGCGAATCGAGTTCACAAATAGTGTGATCAGCTATGGGCCCGACTCTGGCAGTATCGGGTTCATGAACAGCCTGTCAACTGTAGCTCCCATCGCCTTCCAAATAAGTAGTTGAGTTCACAAATAGCACCATTTATTCAAATGCAACATTTAGAGAACAGGTTTCGGATGTCAGGCCAGGAAATTCTCTACTACAATCTGGGGTTCTTAGTTAGTGCCTAGTGTACAAATGCACAATAATCACTCACCCAGAAGATGAGAGAGGGCTCTCAGTGTTGGGGAGTCTCCTCGGGCAGCGTCCTGACCCATGGGGAGGAAAGGGGGTGAGGCCATCGAATGATCCAGAAGTTACCTTGGAGTCTTCCCTCTCTCTTCTTCCTTCTTCCTTAGTTGTTACTCCTCCTTCCTACCATATCCCTCCTCAGTTCACCTTTTATATATTTTCTTTTACATTTAGGTGGAGCTTGAGTGACTGTAGTCATACTTTCATTATTCATTGGTTGAAGAAGTCTCCCGAATTAACTGAAAATCCAGAGAGCATGCTCAGGGAGGAGTGGTTCTTCCTTGGAAGCAGATAACTTTTGGGATGAGGTTGTGTATCGGTATTATAATGAGATTAGAATGAGGAGAAGTTTGATCAAAGTCCATCCGAAGGGACTGATCTGCCACCATTGTTGGCCCAGCAGCAGACATTTTGTCATACTATGTGAGTTATCAGCTGCATGGTATGACCAGGTTGCCACCTCTGCAGGGAGTGCAACAGAGTTTGGCTGCGGTGTCTTCACTCTGCTCCACCCTCCATTCATTTATCTTCTGCATGGCACCATCAGATTACCACCTCCACATGGAATCCAGCAGAGTTTGGCCACAGTGTCTCCATTCTGCTCCACTCTTCATTTACTCTTATTAGCGTGTGCTAGGAGGGCAGACTGTGTTGCAAGGGTATCGTGATGAAGTAGATTCCACACATACCAACTATCCTGGAAGTGGTAACTGTCTCTCATCTCAAGCAAGCCTCTGTAATGCCATAACTTCTGTTAGGCCCTGTTTTTTCTCTAATTTCCCCCTTCTCAAGCAATTCTCTCACAGCCAGTTTTGAAAATGGTTGTGAAAAAAGGGGATCCACCTCAAGTCACCACCATTCATGGGGACAAAGGGTTCGGATCCACCAGTTTTAATAATGGAGCTAAAATATGGTTCCAAAGGCTAAACGCCCTCCTGAACCAGCTGAAGTAATAGCAATAGGAAAGGATAACACCATTTTGATCATGAAACCTGGGCAAGAAAAGTGGGAACATGTCCCTGTAACAAAATGTTATTTGTGAGAATGATTAGATGGTATAGGATTTTGTCTTGCAGAACCTGCATAGCTGAACCTACCTATTTAGTGCCACAGCCCCTTCAGAAGAGGGTATTATCCAGGGCACCTGGTCTGAGAAACCAGCTTTTGCTGAGGACAGAGAGGACTACAACAATGAGGCTATTGTCCGTATTGCTAATAGTATATTATCACTACAACTCAGTTATGAATTGGGAAAATAGATTTTTATCCTTAGGGGAAACAGTGGCAAATATATGCAATCCCAACAACTGCTGGGTTTGCGGGTGCCCAGGCGGACTCGAAGATTGGCCTTGGTTAGCCCAACCAACATCCCCTCAGTGGTGGATCAGTGACCAAAGCAACATACATGAAGGAACAGGCTTCTGGACTGAAGACAGCAATCCTTGGTGACTGTGCTTTCATGGAAAAGGCAACTACTGTCTTAATTCGACACGAGGACATGAGGTTCAAGTGGGAGAAAGTGTTTGTGAATGGACTTTGTCTTTAGTTTTTGGTTTTGACTGTTGGTTTTGACTTTAGGTTTTGACTGTTGGACTCCTTATGCCCTCCTTATGATTATGCCAAGTACAGCAGCAGATGGAATCAAACGCATGTTAAGCTCACTAATGGTAGCTGGGTAAAGTGTTCCTATCACACCTACCGGAAGGGACTTGAACCCTTTTTAGCAAGTTCTGGTCCAAATCCAACTGAACAGCTTGGGGATGTGACTGTAAATGGAGGCCCCACATGGGAGCTTTGAAATGCAATTATTGTGACTCTTACGGTGACAAAACTGTGGTTGGAGGACCGTTAGGCCCATGGAGCAAGCTGTATTTTGACCCACCAATTGATGACGAAATGTGGGATGACCCCTTTGGTCATGGAACCTGGGCCCTGAAAGGACACTACTGGATTTGTGGCCAACATGCTTACCGAAAGTTACCTCCAAACTGGTCAGGGATATGTTATATAGCATATATCAGGCCTCTGTTCTTTTTGCTGTCACGAAATCACGGGACAGGGCTTGGAGTCAAAGTATATGATGAATTTGGTCAGAGAAAGGTGATCCCTTGACACTTCCCTAAGGGAAGCTCCCAAAGATGGGGGAAGGATGAACGGCCACATAAGAGAATTACAGCATACTAAGGGCTGGCTGCTTGGAACCTTAGCGAAATAGACATGGAAAGGGTGGGAACCAGGTTATGTTCTCATGGCTACCAGGGGGGCCATGGATTAAACATGCCTTGTTTTTCTTTCTGTGTGTATTCGCTGGCTTGTTTTTATTCCTTGTTTAATTCCCTGTGGTATACAATTAATTAGGCACGCAAAACAGGGAATGCAGGTGGCAGTCATGTCTGAAGAAACAGATCAACCAACAATATATGCAATGCTTGTAGAACAGCCGTGATTTACCCGTAAGTCAAATGACCGATTGAAGTGCCAGGGCCTGAACGACAGGCCGAAGACAGAGTTGACTTACAGATGAATATGGCATTGCCTTTGTAGAAGTGCACACCACTCACCTGTAGAACTGCTTATGCTAACCTGCGCGTAGGCTTATTAAACTGTAGCTTTTGTAGGCTCTCGTGAAAGTGTTTTTGATCTTGAAGGGAACCCTCCTATCTAAGGCCCTGGCTCTGGCCAGGTCCCAGTGCTGGATGATAGGGAAAGTCTGACACACCAGATGTTACCACTCGCAAAGAGAATGCAAGTTATCATGATTTGCTGATTTGGCTCTATAAAAGCTGGACCCTCTTGCCACAACTTTGGAGACCTCTCTTAGAGGTGGACGCACAGTCTAAGACCTCCCAATTGCTAGGAAGGCTCTCCAAATCCTCCCTGCAACAGGGGCTCCCCAGCAGCTGTGGATCAGAGTGGTAATAACATATTTAGGCAACTGGTGATATATCTTTTTCCTAATCACTGTTTTCTTCTTAGTATAGTAATGGTTAAGTGCATTACGTTGCCTATTTTGTCTGCTGTTAAAACCCCAGTGTATAGTAAGCTTATTGTTCTGTTAAATGTATCATTTCATTCCTGTATTATTTGATATTAATAGTAAAACACGACTGTTCTTTCCCTTGGTGTCCAGTTCTTTCTGCTGCCCCCCATCAACTGGTAAAACAGTCATCATCTTTGGGATCCAGCGTCTCTGTGCCATTCGGTATTTAGCAATTCTGACAAACGCCAGAGGTCTGGGAACCAGTTTTCTCAAGGGAAAGATGTCCTTTCGTTGTTAGGCTTTCCCTGTGCCTGGGCATTTTAAATTTCATTATTAATCCTGACACAGACCTCATACTCAAACCATGTCAAATAAAGCCCTCATAATAAATCAGGATTTATTATTCTAATCTCATTTAGGTCATACAGTGGTGTTCAACAGTATAAATGTAGAGCCCTAACCTATAATCCTTTGGGCAGCCAAAGCTTCCAGTGCTTTCAAATAAAGTAAATGCCAATGCATCAAGGGCAGGATGCAATCCTCACAAACTAATCAGAAGAATGAAAGTAGCTTTAAAGTAAGAAAATCCCTTCACTGAATAACTTAACTATAGACAATTTTATTCTGGTAAAATATATTCTGGTAAAATATATCAGCTGAAAATATCAACCCCAGTTATTCAGTGAAGGGAAGATTGAAAGAAATAGATTTTGTGAACTACGAGTATCAGAAATTCAACATCTTTGTTCCATTACTGAGTTCTGTCACTATCTGGTTGTTATAAACTGATTTCAGGCTTTCCCGCAGAATTCCCCATTGCACAACACACAGTGGGAGCAGATTTGAGCTTGGAGAAGCTGTCTGCATTCCAGACTGGTCAGTCTTCACAAAGCCGAATTTTCTGTCCATATTCAATGTTGCTTGGAGTTTAAAACAACTCAGCAATCTGCAGCTCTAACACGGAAAAGCATCAAAATTGCTTTGTTGTCTTTCAGTGCTCAAATAGCTCTTCACAGCCTTCAGTTTCCTGAACACCCTCATATTTTGGGAGACTACTTTAAATCCATATTAGTTCAAGTGGAATATATTTTCCCCTTCGGCAGCCCTCTTTGCTGTCTCTGATTTGGGGTTTACCCCCTTCTTAGACCTCTGCCCCCAGCTCCTTGTGCTGGGAAAAAAAAAAAAAAAAACACCCTGATAAACAGGGTGCTAAAGCTGCTGAGTATTTCCCGTCGGTGAGGACTCCCTCTGATATCTCAGTCAACTGGATATGAGCTGACTGAAAAAGGGAGGTGGACTGGAGACAGACCCACAAAAGAGGGATGTGCATTAGACTGCTAAGGATCTGGGTCTGGAGTAATGTAAAATGCATCCTTGAAAAGAGCACATCTTCTAAGAACCTGGATGAATATGGAATAAAAGCCCATTTAAATAGGTATGGCATTAGCCACATCCAGTAAAGGGAGTTAAATGAATTAATTCTCCTCCCTGGCCTTCTGATGTTTAGACATTTCTATGAAGAGTCTCTTTCACAGACAGTAAAGTCCCACATGTTAGACATTAACTAGCTGTTTCCGCCCTGGTTGTCTGCTAGTCCCAGCAGCTGAAAATTAAACTCTGGAGGCAAAAATATCTGAATCTTGCTGAAACTGGCTGACTGTTCTCAGTGAGCAACCTACAGAGCTCCAGCTTGCACCTTCTAGGACATGAAACACAGCGTGCAAAGCAGGGCTGGAAGCAAAGGAGGGCTCTGCTTGGGCTTTAGGGCCTCAGTGTGATAGAGCTGTGCAAAGGAATAGGGAATGCTTTAACTCACATCAAACTTACTGCAAGGGGACAAACTAGGAGGCTCATTTGATTAGAGAACCCACATTTAAGATGTCTGCTGACCTCGACCAGCATGGGAGGTGGGGAGGGTGGGTTCATGGTGCGCAGAGCGACCTGAGTCGCTCTTTCGGCCCCGAGGGCCACAGGAGGCTGCTGGGATGGGGCAGAAGCACCCGCTGCCGCCGCGGGAGACCAGATCAGCGCCTCAAAAAACCGGCCCGAACCGGGCGGGCTGCTCTGGCGGGAGGGTCCCGAGGGCTGCTAGTGGTCGTAGCGTTGTCGTAGCCGCTGTTGCCGTTGTGGCCTTGGAAAACTTGAAGAATAGAGGGGGCTTCACTATCTGTTGTAGTTTATATATACATACATATTGGCTTATATGGTGAACTTAGTGGCTTCTATTTAAAAATTTCAAGGCAGAGCTCTTGAAGTTGGTGTTTGTTTTGTGTATCTGTAGAGTCTGAACCTGAGGAGAATGGGGAAACTAGCTCATATGTAATGGGCAGTTTGTTACTTTGAAGACTGTAAAGGAAACAGAAGGCTAAATGTTTCAAGAAGGACCAGATGAAGGGCCTGATTTCGTGCAGCAAAGAAAGCTGTGCCAGACCACCCCCTCCGTTGTCCGGGAGCAAATAAACCCTCCTGGTTCTGCTCCCTGCAGCCTGGTTGCAGCTGCAGGGTTGTGTTTCTCCTCACAATGCTGTTAGCTCCCCAAGCACTTCCCCTAGACCTCCCTGTAAGTTCTGCATGACTCATAGTGTCATGTGGGGTTAGGCTTTAGGTCCTTTGGAGTGTCTGTGTTTCTTGTCTTCGTTTATTGTGGGCTCCTGCATGTGTATATGCAAAATTCAGAGCTATGCAGGAGCTGAGAGTCCAGCGAAGCCGTTGGCTTGTATCTGCTGGTCACCTGAGAAGGGTTGGCTGAGAGAAGATGACAGCTGCTGTGTTTTTCTGTACCTCTGTCTGTCCTGAGGACATGTATTTTTCTGTATTGCTTGTTCTTTGCATGAAGCTCTTCTGGAGAAGAAAAAGTTATATAGGGTTCATGTCATTGAGCCAGCTGTCTTTAGACAGACAGTATGTCTTGTCCCACCCAGCAGCTTTTCCGTATTTACCTGATTTCATTGCAAAGCGGTGATTAGAATAGCCTTGTTCTTCTGATTCCTTTTAAAGTGATTTATTCGTAAAAATTGACACAAGGCAAAAATTGGTTGTGCTTCATTTTCTCTTCCTTAGGGTCTGTTTCTGAGAAAAAAATATATTTAATACTAGCTGATTTAGCAAAGTGTTGTTTTTGTTGGTGGAAAAATTCCGAGAATATTTTGTACTTCAAAAGTGAATTACTTTTATTTTGCTGTGTCAGAAGCAAAAGATGGGCATCCCATGTATTTAATGATCATGCGAACCACATGTTTGTATATACTATGATAGAGCCTTAAATGAATTAGACTTCAAAAGGCCCAGCTGGATAAATTGGATTAGTGGATGGACTATCACGGGGAACTCTGAAAGCGGGGGAAAAATAAGGAGAAAGTTGAAGAAATAAAGCTGCAGATGGTTGTTACATGAACTAGATGAAAGAAAATCCAGCATGCTAGTAGAAAGTAAGAACTGTGCAAACCTCTCAGCATTTGAGAAGTTTCTGTAAAATTCCTTAAAACAAGTGATTATGCTTCCTGGATAAAGTCTCAGGTTAAAAATTAGAGCTTAAAAACATCATCATGCAGATAATGTTTGTTTTTCTAATTTACTCTCAGAAACCTGTCTGTATACAAATTCATTATAAAAATAATAAGATATTATGTCAGTTGTTTAATAATTGGGAAATGGTGGAATTAAGGTCGTTGGTGCAAATTTGATTTGATCCCAATCGCAAATGCTTTTTTAGTATTGTCCTTAGTGACTGTTTTTTTCCCAGGACCTTCGTTACTCTCCGAGGACAGGGTTGATGTGCAACAATTTTTTGTGAAGCAAAATAGTTAATAGGGATTTAATGCACTTGTTTGTAGGATATGAGGCATGTGAGAACTGATGTTTGGCAGAATAAGGGCTTCTCTGAGGACACATCAGAAGATCGTTGTAGTTGCAGGCTGGTTGTCCTGAGCCTTTCATAGTGTATTTCAGTGAGCATAGGGTAAAGATTGCTGAGGCGCCTTGTGAGGAGGATGGGAACACTGGTGCTGCGAGCTGTAAAGGGCAGAGAGACAGAATGATTTAACAGCTGGGCTGGAGAGTTGGAATAGGTGTTTATCCTGGACATACTTCTGTCACCTCCAGCTGGGCCGGCTGTGGTTTA